CAATAAAACGCATGGCATCCTTTGGAGCGTGGAGGAGATGGGGATAAGAAAAATGTGAGAACGCGCGGAATGGAGGGCGACTTCTCTCCCTTTCCTCCGGGAGATTCCTTGCCTGCTGTTCTTTTCCCTCTCTCTAATAATATTTCTAAGAGCGCACATACAGTCTATTTTGTTTTATTCTTCGTTTTTTTTTTCCGTTAGTCCTCACATCAAGTGACCTTCACGGGGAAATGGGCCGCAAGCATGGCGACGGCGTTGACGCGCACTACAAAATGTGCAAGAAGATTGCCCAACTGACAAAAGTCATCTACCAGCTGAACACGCAGAATGAGGACTACGACGCAAGGAACGCAGAGCTGCGCCAAAGGCAAGAGGAGGAGTTGCGTACGGTCTGTAGCGAGGCAGAGGGGCGTGTGGAGGAGTTGCGGAAGGCCTTTCTTGAGGAGGAGGAGAAGCGAGCCGGTGCGATGGAGGCAATGCAACAGAGGTACAGGACTGAGCTGAAGGAGGCAAAAGATGCGTTTGCACGGAAGACTGCCTCCATGGTGGACGAGCTCTCTACCAGCAAGGCGCGTTTCGAGGAGGTGGTGGCCGAGGTGAAGGCGAAGGCAATGGAGGAGGCTGTTAAGGCGTCCGCGGCGAGCGCAGCGGCGGCAGAGGCGGCGCACGCAGCAAAGGAGGAGGAGCTAGAGAGGCTGAAGGCGGCGAAGGAAGAGGAAATTGCCAACCTAGTACGTGAGTATAACGAGCGGTATAAGGCAATGTTAGCGGAGCAAATGGATGCCAGAGATGCCTTGGAAGAGCAATCGCGCCAGCTGCAGTCGCAGTTTGATGCTGCCGCCACGGCCCACGCCGAGGAATTGCAAATGTGGTCTAGTAAATTACATGAAGCAAACGAGGTTGCCACACGCGCCTCAGCCGAGTTGGAGCAGTGGAAAGAAACCTGTAGGTCTCGCGAGGCGGACGTAAACAGGCTGCAGCAGGACTGTGACACTTTGCGTAGTCGTCTTGATGCCGAGAAGAACTCTCTTGGTGTCTCGCGTGACGTCGAGGCTACACTGCGTCAGGAAGCGGAAGAGTTGCGGGCGCAGCTAAAAGAAATGCAGGTAGAACGTAATAAACTGGAGCGGTCGCTAAGCGCGAAGACAGCGGAGCTCGCCAAGGCCATGTCGGACATAACGGACTTAGAAAACCAAAAAAGTTTCCTGGAAGCGCAACAAAATCAGCTGTCGCACAACGCCACTGATGCTGGGAAGAGGAACCAGACATTGATGAGTCAAGTGGATGCACTTGAGCGTCGCGTGATGGAGCTGCAGGAGGCGGTAAATGAGGCAGAGCGAGAAATTCAGCGGCGCACTCTAGCAGAACGCGCCCTGGAAGAACGCTGCGAGGAGCTACGACAACGTGCTGCTGAACGTGCCAAGAAACATCAGGACGAAATTGCGGCGCTTCAAGCGATGCAGGAAGCGACTCTTGCCGAGCTCCACGCGGCGTCGCAGAGGTCAAATGATGTGGTTGCATCCCAGTATCGGAGTGAGAGGGATGCTTTGACAAGTTGCCACAAGGAAGAGCTGCGGCGGCAGCAGGAGCAGCATAATAGGCAGATAGAAGAGTTGAGAGGAGAACATGAAGATATTCTCTCGGGTCTTCGTGCTCAGCTGGCAAGCGCTGACGCTCTTGGTGTGGATCTCCGTGCAAGCGTGGCGCAGCTGCGGGAACAGGTCGACACACTTGAGGCGGAGTTGGGTAACGCACGGAATGCACTGCAGGAGGCTGCCAGACAGCAAAAAGACTTGATTGCGAAATATGAGGCAAGTGTATCTGACACTGCACAGAAAGTAGCAGAGATGGAGGCGACAATGAACGCCAAGCTGGATGCCGAGCGGAAGGGGCACATGGAGAAGACGCGTTCGCTTGAAGCGGAGATCGCATCGCTGCGCAGACGGCTTCAGTCCGGCACAGAGGCGAGTGAACGAAACTGGGAAGACAAATATAGGACACAGGCGGAGCAGTACGAGAGCCAGTTGGAGCAACTTCGGCAGGAGCACATTGAAAACGTGAAGCATCGCACCGGGTTGCACGATGCACATGTGGCAAAAATAGAGGAGATGCAAAAGGAGGAGATTCGCAATCTCTTGGAAGCGGCTAAGCAGAGGCAAGAGGCGGAACGCATGGAATTTCTAAACGCGCGGAAGGCGTTTGCTGCGCAGCTGCAAGGGCGTGATGAGGAGTTGCGACGACGCGGTGAGGAGTTGCGGCAGGCGCAAGACCAGATGGACGCCTTGCGGCACGGTGCGAAGGATCAGGCAAATCGGTTTGCGGAGGAGCTACGGGCGCAGAAGGAGTACACTGCAAGACTTACCGCCGATTGTGAGCGGCTGCAAGCGGAGCTCGAAGAGTCCAATAAGGCGCTTCAGGCCTCACGTGAGGGGTGCACCAGGATGGAGAAGGAGGCGCGGGTGTGGGAGGGCCGGGAGCGTGACGTCCGTCAGACGCTGGGACGCCTGGAGGAGGCCTCCGATCGATCCCGGAAGGAGGTGGAGGCGCTGCACAGGGAATACGTCGCTAGTATGGAGGCGAAGAGCGCACGGAAGATGCAATCCGCCTTGGCAGAGCTCCGCATCGCCATGACAGCGGAGCGCAATGCGATGCAACTGCGGGCAGATGAGGCAATTGCGGCCTTGCGGCAAAAGTGCGCCGACCTGCAGGGTGAAGCGAAGAGTTTAAGCCTGAAGCTAGACGCAGCAATGCACGATCTTCGGAAGTCCAAGGAAGAGCTCGAGCGCGAGCAAAGCAACAGGGAAGTGGAACGTAGTGAGTTTAACACCACCTTGCAGGCGTTGCGGCGCGAGTTTGAAAATGAACAGGAGAGGGCGCGGCGCCTCAACGAGAATCATTTGAACGAAGTAGCGACCACGCACAAGCTGCTTATTGATGACTTGATGCAGCAACACGAGGAAGAGCGAAGGGCACAGGACAGTGTTATACGGGAACTGCGGGCGGCGCTCGAGGATCTGCGGTATCGCTACGAGTACCGTGAGTCGAGGGGAGAGGATGTGGCGATGATCAACCGTCTCATGAAGGAGTTAAAACAGAAGGAGCAGGAGATGGAAAAAGTTGTACAAGATATGAAGATGTATAAACTAGAGCTTCTCAATCGCGAAGAGAACTATAACAAGGTCTTTGGGCGACGGCCGCTTGTCGCTGTAAGCGCTTCGGCGGATAAGGCACCACGGTTGCAGCAGGGCGCGCGGGAGCGTGGGGACATCTACGACAGGAGAGTAACGTAGTAGTGGCAAGCCGCTGTGTGAAACTTGAGTCGAGTACCATTTAAACCAATACTTGTTGCACCATTTGGCAGCCTGTGTGGGTGTGGGTACGGGTAGGTGCGGTGTGGTGTGGTTGTTCCTCGCTCTGTGCTTCCTCGCAGCTGTGTACCAAAGTGCTGGATTTTTTTTTCATTGCATTACTTTACCACATAATTGTATGTGTATATCGCGGTGCCTAGATGCGTCTTTGCGCGTGGATGAATGTAAATGTGGATTTTTTTTTGCGGCTGAGCATTGCGTTTACGTCTATTTAAGCGCAATATTCCTCTTTTTCTGCTCTTCTGATGTTTTTAATTCTTTTTGATTTTGTTGTTGTTGTTGTTTTTTGCCCTCTTTTTCCCCAATTTTGCCGGCACATGTCTCTCTAGGTCGTATACTGTGCGTTTCACTCTTCCAAAGTAACGCTATAAGTCCAATTACGCGTTGGAGGCCGTTTGTCAGTAGGAGCAACGACAAGAGAGGCGGAAAAAGCATATCATGGCTTCAGCAGAAGAGCTGAGACAGGAGGGGAATACTGCTTTCACGGCAGGGCGCTACCAAGAGGCACTGACGCTTTACGAGCAGGCCATTGCGTTGGACGCGGAGAATGTTGATCTTCTTAACAATGCCGCGGCCGCCAGTCACTCGCTGGAGAAGTATGACGACGCCATCATCTATGCGAGGCGCTCGTTGCGTGTCCGTGACAACTTCAAGGCGCATACACGGGTGGGGGCAGCACTGTGGGCCTTAAACCGACTGCCTGAAGCAGCCATGGAGTACGAGCGGGCTGCGGCATTGTCGCCTGGGAATCCAAGTGTCGAACAGAGCCGGCAGAGACTTTCGCAATTGATAACAAGCTCCTTGGGCGGCGGTGGCGGTGCCACGCTTCCTCCCAGTTCTCCTGGGAAGATGGGAGTGTGCCTCGACGCTGCCAGTGTAGCAGTCGCGGTGTTGACGATGCTCTCGCTATTTTTCATGCCCAGGCTAGCTGAAACTATGTGGACTGTATTGCTGGTTCTGACCATCGCGCAGCAAGCAAGCATTGCACGCTCACAAGGTCTTCTTCAGGCGTCTAAGGAAGTCCTCTTGAAGTGGGCCGATCACCGCTGTACACTGGAGTTGCTGCTCTGCGCCTTTGCCTTACTTGCCAAGGCGGGGCCCCAGATGCTGCTGGTAACTTCACTAGGAGTCTACAGTGCGTTGAGTCTGGCGTCTAATCACACGACACTTTCGAACATGTCGCCGGCTCTGTACCGTCTTTGTTCGTCGTATCTGCAGAAGGTTTTAACCGAGCGGGCCATGGTTGCCAACTACGCTGCAACCTTGGAGGCCATCATGCTCTTTACCGTCATGTTCTCAGGCGGGGCCATTTTTACTCTTGTCTACATTCAGTACGTTAAAAATATATATCGAATTGACAGCAACACCAAACTTGCCTTCACAGGTCTGCGAATGAACCTCTCACGTCTTACCCGTCTGCCATACATGCCTCTTTTTGTGGATACCTATGCGCAGAAGTTCTGTGACCTGCTTTATACGGTTTCCCAACAGCCCTTTTGAGAAGGATTTTTCGTTTAGTTTTATCTTGCCGTAGGGACTTTATTAGTAATGATTAATCTTGAGATATGTGTAATGCGCACACTAACTTGTTTATTTTGCCTTCATATATATATATATATATAAAGGGATGGAATAAATAGTGAAGAATTATGCGCCTATTGTTTTTGTTTTGCTTTGGGCGTTGTGGCTCCGGGCGCTAATTATTATTATTATTACTATTGTTTTATTTTTATTTTTTGCTTTATTTTTGTTGGTTTATCTTCTCTCTATTCGGCTTCTTCCTTGCACCGCACGGTTGGCATGCACACCGCGTACGGCACGTGAAAAGAGCAGCCGCCACACACACACACACACACACACACGCAAGAAAAAGGGGAGAATGCAACACGCAGGCACACGTTCAAACAAGAGTGACACCGCAAAAGATGCGGCGCATTGCTCGGATACCTCAACGTGTCAGGAAGATGCGGCGCATGTGATTATGGAGGTGGATCGCCTTACAGAGCAAGGTGTTGCCGCGGCCGACGTCGCCAAGCTGCGGCAGGCGGGTATTTTTACTATTGCAGGGATTCACATGCAGTGTCGCAAAGAATTGGCACTCATTAAGGGACTTTCCGACGCCAAGGTGGAAAAAATTATCGAGGCGGCTAGAAAGCTCTTGGACTGCGGATTTACGAATGGGGCGACGTTTCTGCAGCAGCGTGGCAAAGTGACGCGCATGACGACTGGAAGCGCTGCCCTTGATCAACTATTGGGTGGAGGTATTGAGAGCATGTCCATTACAGAGGCTTTTGGTGAGTTTCGCACAGGAAAAACGCAGATTGCACACACACTCTGTGTGACCTGTCAGTTGCCCACCTCAATGGGCGGGGGCAATGGGAAGGCGATATATGTAGACACAGAGGCGACCTTTCGTCCAGAGCGTATTAAACCCATTGCATCTCGCTTCGGCCTTGACGCGGACGCCGTGCTTAATAACATTCTCGTGGCACGGGCCTACACCCATGAGCATCAGATGCATTTGCTCTCAATGGTGGCCGCGAAGATGGCGGAGGATCAGTTTGCCTTACTCGTGGTAGACAGCATCACTGCCTTATTTCGCGTTGACTTTTCTGGTCGAGGCGAGCTGGCAGAGCGGCAACAGAAGCTCGCGAAAATGATGAGTCATTTGATAAAAATAGCCGAAGAGTTCAATGTGGCAGTGTACATTACAAATCAAGTTGTGGCAGATCCCGGTGGTGCATCGATGTTCGTCGCCGACCCCAAGAAGCCTGTTGGGGGGCACATTCTTGCACACGCCTCCACAACGCGGCTGTCGCTTCGCAAGGGCCGAGGGGATCAGCGTATTTGCAAGATTTACGACAGTCCATCACTCCCGGAGGTTGAGTGTGTTTTCAGTATTTCCGAACAAGGCATCGTCGATGCTCGTGAGTAGTTGTCTGGGGCCAGAGATAAGTATGAGCCTTTGTTTTTTTTTTCTGTGTGTTTCTTTTACTTCCTTACGACACCATTCCCTATCATTGGTTTATTCTTATTATTAAGTCACTAAGAAGCTAGAATATTACTGCCGTTATTTTTTTTTCTGTTTTAATCAGATGTTTTTTTTCTATTTCTTTTATTTTACTTTTTATTTTTTATGCTTCTGTGTACCGTGGGAAAATGACTGAGACAGAACAAAAAAGCCACGGTGGGACGGGGAGAGGGGATTTTTTTGTCTCTTTGCTATTCTTCCTTGCGTGTGTCTCACGCCTTTAAGAAGGGTGTCTGGTTACCGCTGTGTGTGTGTTGTTTTTTTTTATGCGTCTCCGGTCCCGGGGATTGACCGGGGGGCGCCGTTGCTGTGCGTGACCATCTGCCTCTCGTTTCCTTTTCCGCGGGGAAGTGCGTGGGTGCCTGCGCTGCTCGCTTCACAGGGTGGTGCCTCCCACCGACAGCGGGAGGCGATAGAGAAGGGCAGTCGCGGTCTCCGGGGGAATGCCGCCTTCCATCGTAAGGGCCATCGCGACGGTGAATCGCCACCTCGCCGAGCAGCACGAAGATGTAAGTGGCAATGGAGAGAGTACCGCGCTTTTGCATCCGCCGCCCAGTGAGGTCTGCCCGGGCTCGCGGCGATGCATCCTTCCCGCCTTCCGGGAAACGTGGAGGGGCGGGCCGAATGTCATCGCGCCAGACCACGGCTCCTGCTTTGTCTCAGTGGATTGCCTCTGGCACGACCGCAACCGTATTTCGGAGGAGGAAATGAAAGAGGTTGCCCTTCAAGAAGGCAACAAATGGGATGAGGAAACGTTAGCGTCTATGGCTGTCACCTGCGCTCGGTGCGCTGTGGATGCCGCGCCCGCCTTTGGCGCCAGTTGGCCGAGGGAACGAAACATTGAAGGCCTATTGAAAAACTCCGTGCGGGACAAAATGAAGCTATGCCGCAATTGCAGGATGCATCACGTTCATGGCGCCTTGGGTCTACAGGAGAGTCCATATGGTCATGTTGGCGAGGTTTACGCTGACATTCAGCAGCGACTCTCACTTGCCCGCGCGCGCGCCATATGCCCCTTAAGAAGGCAGGTGCAATACATAAGCGACAGTCTGTTTGGCAGCATCGCGTTGCGCCAGTCTGTGTGTGTGCGCTGCAAAGGCGGGGTTCAGCCGGAGGATCATTTATTTGCTTCTCAGCACGTCGAAGACGTTGATGTAAAGTAGACATTTGTCACATGTGCCTTTTTTTTTTATCTCTTACTACTTCTTTGCCTTTTCTCCGGGCATACCACGAACTGTGATCACGAGAGGGAGGAGGAGGAGAGATGAAGAGGAGCAATAATTCTGTGGCGTAGCGTTGTTTGTGCTTTTCTCGTCAGACTCCCAACACAGTGGTTGCGGTCACTTCCGTTCCTTTTCCGACGTTCCTTCTTTGTTTCTCTCTATTGTTCTTTTGCTTGCCACCGCACTTGCTTTCACACGCCGTAAGCTGAGGAACGAGGTGGGACCCCTCCCTGGAGAGTTGTCGATGCAGCGCCGTTGACAAACAATGCGTAAAACAAGCGTCAAGTTGCTGCACGCGAAACGACATGAAATTAAGCAGCGGATGCTGCAACATAATGTTCTACAACGAAATAGGTTGCGGCAGGCCGAGCTGGGCGAGTGTCGTGCAGGGTCTACCGAGAACAGCGTTTCAGCGAGGGAGGCCGCCTATGCAGCTGTTGGCAAAGAGTTTCAGTGTGACGTGGGCGACCCTGCCGTGATGGATGTTCTGCTTGACATTGAAGAGGAGATAAGGAACGAGCAGCTGATGTCGTTGTTTGACGAGGGCCAAGACGAAGACTGGGAAGCGTACTATCGTTACCTTGCTCAACAGTGAGGTCTTTGTTTCGTGTTTCCACTCCACCTCCTCATTTGGGCTGAG